AAAATAAAATTTTTAATCTAATAACTTATTTTTGAGAATATTAATTTGAATTAGAAGATAAAATTTTAAGTAAGTCTCTAAAAAAAAATTAAGAGCACAAACGTGTAAAACATTTTTTCTATTTTTTTTATGCGTTTTTAATTTCAATTGTAGAAAGGTCAGCTCAAATTTACGGATTGGGCTTTTTCGAATGTTTGAGTGTTGTGTTACTGTTAGCTAATGTTTTTCTGAATTTGTGTGGCATTTCAGCTTGCATTATGCTAATATAACGGTAGGGACACCAGCTTTGTCATATTTGGTGGCACTAGACACTGGTAGTAACCTGTTCTGGCTGCCATGTGATTGTTCGAGTTGTGTGCGCGGGTTGGTTTTGTCGGGCGGTGAAGTATGCTGCTCCTTCACTTTGAATTTTCATTTCTTTAAATTTGTTAGATGGAAGAGAATCTATAGATTCCATTCTCTCTGTGAAAAGTTACATATTTATCATGAAGAGAGTTATGATTTGTTAATGAGTCTCAAATGATCAAATAAAAATGCAATGAACTCTTGTATATTTGATAGATTCAACTTAAATTGAAAAGCATAGCTGCGTGTATGCTTGATTCTTGTATTTAAGACGATATATGCAAGATGTGTAATGTAAGTTATGTAACTAATTTGAGAAAGTTTATTGTAATTCTTGATTGGCAGGAAATAGAATTTAACATCTACAGCCCAAATACTTCAACAACAAGCTCGAAGGTTCCATGTGGCAGTGACTTTTGTAAACAACCAAAGTCAGGGTGCCCTTCTGCTCACAGTTTTTGTGGTTATCAAGTTCAATATCTCTCCAATGGCACTTCATCCACTGGAATCTTTGTCGAGGATGTATTGCACTTAATCACAGATGATGACCAGGAAAAAGATGTCAAAGCTAATATTACATTTGGGTAAGCAACTTCTTTTTAGGTTCAGAAGCATTTGTAAAGAACATTCCTATGGGAAGTCTTTGATGCTTGGGTGAAATATAGCTTGGTGGAAACATTAGAAGCGGTTTGAATGGTTGATTAATCATTACAAGTCTTTGATTATATACTATAATTTCAGTTACTTTCATTTGAATCCTTGAGAATACTTCTCATCATTATTGGCAGATGTGATTTAGAAAGTTGTAATTATTATTTTTTTTTCTAGCTCTTATAATTTTTATGTGCTCTGTTGCAGTTGTGGACAAGTGCAGACTGGTGCATTCTTAAGTGGTGCTGCTCCAAATGGTCTGTTTGGGCTTGGCATGGATAATATATCTGTTCCAAGCATATTAGCAAAAGAAAACCTTGCTTCAAATTCTTTTTCAATGTGTTTTGGACTTGATGGGATTGGGAGAATCAGTTTCGGGGATAAAGGAAGCTCTGACCAAGGAGAAACACCGTTTAATGTTGAGCAACTACAGTAAGTGGTCACTTTCTGATTGGCATGATGCTGATTATGAGCTTACTTCACTTTGGTATCGATACGATTTTTGAAATGGTTTTCGCTGATTTTTTCTTTCCTCATGCTACACATTTTCAGTCCAGATTACAATGTCAGTGTCACTCAAGTAAAAGTAGGAGGAAATGTTCAAAATGTTGAATTTAGTGCAATTTTTGACTCCGGTACCTCCTTTACATACTTGAATGATCCAGCTTATACACTTATCTCTGAGAATGTAAGAGTTCGCAACACATACTCCTCGCTGTTTTCTGAAATTTTATTCATTTTTATGTAATCACATATATTTATATTTCTTGGCAGTTCAATAAGCTGGCTTTAGACAAACGCCATGCATCTAATTCCGATCTCCCCTTTAACTATTGTTACGACTTAAGGTAATCTAAGTTTCTGGGTGGACCAGTTATGCCATTTAGATTTTTCACCTGTAAACCTCTCTGATGCTTCTTTACTTGGCAGCGCAAATCAAACCAACTTTACATATCCTGTAGTGAATCTGACACTGACAATGAAAGGTGGAGACTCATTTTTTGTTAATGAGCCAATAGTAGTGATCTCCATGAAGGTAAAATATTGCTTCCATGCATGGTATCTTGGTCCTCACCCTTGAGTGAAGCTAAAATTGACTCTGGAAATCTACAGGATGGAACTGCATATTGTTTGGCAATTGTCAAGAGCAATGATGTGAATATTATTGGACGTAAGTATCTTTATACAAATCAATGTGCTTATATGAGGAACTTTCTTTTCAATTGAATCTAATAGCTAAAATTTTGCTGCAGAAAACTTTATGACTGGTTATCGTATAGTGTTTGACCGTGAGAATATGATATTGGGATGGAAGCCATCTGACTGTAAGTAGAGCATTCAACATCTTGAATTGGGTTTCAATTGAACAGTCTATATTTTCTTGCTCTCTCTGTTGTGTTTGTTTGTGTTGTATTGGATTGTAGAAGATCAAAGTTCTAAGATTTAGATCTAAATTTGTCTGCAGGTTATGATATTAAAGACTCCAACACTGTACCTGTCAAACCACCAACTGCAGTCCCCCCGTTTGGTCCTGTCAATCCAGAAGCAACGGTTGGGAATAGCAACACTCCTCAAACTTCAGGGGCACCACCTCCTCTAGTGAACCATTTACCCCAAACACACGCTTATGCGCTCATGGTTCTTCTTGTTTCAATGCTTGCCTTAATTTAACCATTCTTTTTCATTTTCCCTATATCTTTTTCTTCTCGTCGATCCTGTAGGCCTGTACCATAGCTACCGCGAGGCATTGTTTCAGGTATACAGGAAGCAGTTTGAGCTTCCTTTCATATTTTTTATGGTTTAGTGGCATCATTTTTACGCAGGTTGTAAATATATTTGATTATAAACAAAGATTGATATAGCATTCTTATACATGGAATTCCATTTCGAGTTGGCTGTAGATAAGGTATTTCTGCATTCTGCCCAATGCAGGCTTGGAACTAGATGTTAAACGGTTGAGCAAAATTTTTAACACATCATAAATACATAGAGAAGACATGATTCTGTTTCTAGGAAAAAATGAGGGATTTGCCAATTACTCTTACCTCTTCTCGAGGGCTTCCTACAAGCAAACTGCATTATTACTTCTAATGATCCATGCAGAAGAGTCAGGGGCTGGGGCTTTTTATGCATTGGGTTCATTTTCTCAAACCCTTTAAGACTTCTTCTTTGGCAAAACCCTCAAAAAAATGAACCCAATAAAATTCTGATGTTATACATTTCTACCCGTATTTGAGGGATGAATTTGGGTTCTGCCCTTCTTCTTTAGTGATTGAACAAAAGTTGAAAGACTATGCTTCTCCTCTTCCCCCACACCTCTAGATAGCGATTCATCATCTTTCTTTTGACTTACGATCGGAATTCGGAGGGCAGTGACTCGAACCTGAGTGATCTCAACAATGATAGCAACTCTTGCCTTTCTATCTTCGATTGCTCGCCTTTTGTCTGCTCCACGATCACCACCAGATGGCAACTGGTTACCTTTTGTAGGTACTTCACAGGCCTCCGTTTTACCAATTCTCTTTGATTGTCTTGATGATGCCTCTGCACTGTTCTGCCCCTCTTGCAACACCCAAATACAATGTAGAAGCCAAGTAGCATATGTCAAATGAAAGATCCTTGCAGCTATGTTTTGGTCTGCTGTTCGAGATTTTTTTTGGCATAATATATAGATTACACCTGAAAGAGATAGTTAGTTCCTACTTCCTACTTCCTGGTACTGTCTAGTCACTTGTCTCTTTTGCCCATTTCATCGTCAAATAGCCCAACAGATCCATGTATGTCTTCCTCTTGTATTGGCAAAGTCCAAACTCAGACGGATGGACAGCAACAGACAAAGTCCGTCCATCTTTTGGTAGAAATGAGCTCAACAATACATACAAGTCAACACCCTTAGGTAGAAGGTTGCAACCCTAAAACCTATCGAAATTGAAGAGATGACGCGCTAAAACGAAATCATAAGCATGGCTTAGCAATTGACATAATCTTGTCACCTGCAACGAAATTCGGCATTTCCAATTTCTACAATTTCTATTTTTTATAACCACTAAAATGAAGTGATTAAGTAATTTAATTATAAACTTTGATAGCATATTTAAACACTTTCCTCCAATCCATATGAACAACAGGCAAACTGGCAGTTTCCTTTTCTTTTCAATTACAGGAATGTTTTCTTTTAGTCCTTCAGGTAGCTTAATTTGCAGGTTCGGTATAACCAGAAACGGTATAAATGTGCATGTGAATTTCAGTATTGCTCTGTTTGGTAACATGAATTTGATAGAGTGTATTTGAATTTGAATATTTTAAATTCAATATCATTATTTGTTTTTACCTAAATAAAATGTAATTAAATTTCAGGAAAATACATGCATTTCAACTAGGTAATTTAAGAGAGTAAAAACAGTGTATTTCAAATTCACTTTCAAACCCAAGAATTTCAATTTTGAATTGAATTTCCTCTGCACTCTCTCCTCTCACCGACGGCGATGAGGCCTTCTTCGTCTGTCCATCTTGACTTTGCCGCTGCTCTTTCACTTTCTCGTCGTTGTCGACCACTTGAACCACTCCTGTAAAATCGTTATAAAATGCCTTCATCAACATAGCTCTCTCACTCTCAAATCCCAACACTGATCTTCGGTGCTGTCTCTCTTCTTCTCCTTCATTCTCCTTCACTTGAGCAAGTATCGACGACCAAGGGTGAGTCCATGTTTCTGCTTCGGAGGGAGAACGAAAAGCCCAAGGTTCTCTTCAATGCCTTTTCAAGTTTTGAATCTCGTTAGTTCGTCGGATTTTGATTTCAAGTACTTCATTCTGCTTAATAAGCATCTATGGCTTTCGGTTTTTGTTCTATTAATAGATCGAGGAGTATCGCTTTGTTCGTCAGTGGTTTTAGTGTGCCAGGGTTTTCGTTTGCTGTTTTATGAAGTACCAATGGAATCTGTTATAATTTGGGTTAGAATCAACAATGTCATAATCATGGATTTCGTTTGATGTTCACGAAGATGTCCAGTGTTAATTTGATCATATTAATTTTTGAATCTCTGAACAAGCTTTGGTTTTGGTGATTTGAAGAATGAGGTTTTGAACTGTTGTTATTTTCTATAAATTTTCTGCATTTATATATGCTATATATGAATGATATGATGTAATGGAGTTTTAGGGAAGTGAGTTAAATGCAATGAGCTTTTCTGAAAATTTTCTGCAATTTTATGTGTATGGTTGGATGAATTGTGTGTTTTGAATGAAGATTTGAGAAGTGGGTATTTTCATGTCTGTATTAGGATTGAAGGAGGGCAAATCAGAATAAGATCTAGGGGTAAAGAGTTGTCTCTAGCTCTCATTTTTTTGATTTACTAAATATACCTTGTCGTAGCATTGGAACTCCCCAATCCTTGGAAACCTCCACGTTCCATTGCTTTTTGGATAAGATATGTATCTGGGCTCTCCACAAGGACCCATCCCCACTTGGATTTCCTAAGACAGAAAATGAATTTGTATTTCTAGAGTTCACCGGAAAAACTTTGGTGGTTGCATGCATTAAGAAAAGACCAAAGAACATATCACTAAATATTGACATTAAACACTTTCAACGTGATTCTAGATGCTGGTGGTCCATAATTTGGATAATTATAGGCTCTCCTCCTGTTCAATTGTGTCTTAATCTGGGTTCAATTGTGTTTTTTATGATGGATCTTTTTTCTTATCATTATAGGAAAAAAACCCAGAAGGCTATTGTGCAACAAAGTCAAATATTTTGTTGATTTGTTGTAATA